AATGCAGAAGCTGACCTATTGCTTGAAAATTGAACAAAGTTTTACACCTGTCTATCATCCGGAAGCTAATCCAGTAGAAAGGAAAAATAGGGACTTAAAAGTGCAGTTATCTATTCACGTTGGGAAAGATCACACATTATGGGATACAAATCTTCCTGCGATCAGATTCGCCATGAACACTGCGAAATGTTCCACAACCAATTATACACCTGCATATCTTACGTTCGGAAGAGAACTAAGAACTCCACTGGATGTGCAACATGACCTCCGTGCTATAGTGAATGCCGAGAATTTTGTACCACAAATAACACCACACCTGCTTAGACTAGCAGATACTTTTAAAAGAGCTAAAGAGAACGAAGAAATGATGCAAGATAAAAATAAAACATACGTTGATGCAAAAAGAATCCCACAGAAGAAAATAAATATTGGTGATCGTGTACTCGTCTCAACACACATTCTTAGCAACAAAGATAAAGGCCTGACATCAAAATTTGTACCACGACGTGACGGTCCCTATATTGTCATGGAAAAGAAGGGATCTAATACATATTCGGTTGCAATCTTAGAAAATCCCACAATTCCACTGGCAACATACCATTCGTCGGATCTACTTTTATATGATGGACGTGAGGAGGTTCCAATATATCCCTTGCGACAAAGAGGAAGGCCGAAGAAGTGCAACATAAACAATACCAATGATAACCAAACCACTGAAACTACAACAACCGCTAACAACACAACAGCAGATGTAAATGTTCCAGATACACCAAACTTAGAAACTAATAATGACAATGAGCCATTGAGAAGATCTCTGAGAAAAAGGAAACATACAGGAGGTGTCTAGTACTGCCACATCATCAGAGACGATTTCTGAGGCAGAGGGGGAGGCTGTAGCGGACACACCATTATTATTTATATATTTATGTGTTATTTAATTTTATATCATGATTTGTTTGCATTATTATTATAACATCAATTATTTTACATTAACTTGAACTGTAATTTTGCTCGAGTGTTCAGATAAGTAATTTTGTTATATGCCAAGAATAAGAGAATATGTTGTTTGTGTTAAGTAACTGCATTTCTGCATTTCGTTGATGATTATTGAGTGATGCTCTAATTGTTCTCTAGTGCTCTCGCATAAGTTCAATGAAATGAGTTTATTTTGACATTATTGTAAAATACCTATGAGAGATTGAGTGATTGTTTTTCTTTCTTTCTTTTACAAGTGATATTGTTATTGTGATTATTTTCTTTACACTCAATCACTCTCAATTTCATGTTTTAATCATTCCACGTGTTTATGATCTCGCCTATATAAGTACACGTATTAGGCTAAGTTTGTCATTCTTGGAGTTGCTTTTGGAAATAAAGTATCAAACACAAGAATATCATCGTCTTTTATTTTATAAAATCTCTAGTATTAAGTGGACGGCATTGGACATTTTGTGTCTGTGTTGACCCTTGATACTGAAAATATTATAAAGTGGATAAAAACGTTTCTAGACGGAAACGTCTGTCTCGTTATATCTACGATATAATATAAGATATTTTAATAAAATAATAAAATAATAAAAACCCCTAAATATTAGGATTAGTGGTCTCCCCACGAACCCTACAATATATATATATATATATATATATATATATATATATATATATATATATATATATATATATATATATATATATATATATTGCCGGATCCTTTATATGTTGTCAGATGAACAAACAAGACAAATAGTGTCTAATAAATATCCTCAAATCCATCCATTTTCATAATACCTCCTTTAACCCTTCTTGCTCCTTTGTTAAAAGTACTTTGGCACAATCAGATTGTGGTTGCAACCATTTCGTCCGAAATGTTTTTAAATTTACTTAGTTGTTTTTATTTCGAACCAATTGACAAAAAAAAAAATGTATAACGGAAAAAGTCTGCCAGAAAACCACATTTAACATTTTGTGGTTTTTACAAACTCCCTTTTTAGGAAATGACAATTTAGTTACAATATAAAACCACAATATTGAACCTAAGTACACAAATTTGTTTGTGAAAATCTAAATAATAATGTTCTAATATTTAGGAATAAACGATAATTAAATACAAAATGAAAAAAAAAAAACTGCAAACAAAAAAAAAAAAAAAAAAAAATTGGTCACAATGGGAAAAATATTTTGTTAGGTGTGAGTGCCTTTTTTGGACAAAATAAATATCCACGTTTTTTTGCGGAGGTTTTGGTGCAATTGTTTTTAAAAAAAAAAAAAAAAAAAAAAAAAAAACTCGTAAATAGAATTTTATTTGTCAATGGGGTTGGAAATTTTGGAATTTTTCACCCAAAAGTTATGGTACATTTTAGCTGCTAAATGCTATTTGATCATCATCCAAAAATGAGGACTCTTGCAAAATTCCATATTGATCGGTCCAGAATTGTGACCTGTGAACGACTTCAAAATCAGAAAAAAATATTTTACGTTCAGCTTACTCAATATGGACTTTTATTCAGTCAGACGTTCACTATATATGATGACGTAACTCATTAATTTGCAATGACGGGATTATGTTATTATACCCTTCATTACATTTGGAGTCGATCTAGCGATGTACGTCCGTATGTCTTTCTGGATTGCTGGTGCGCACGATAACTCCTGAACGGAGTATCTGGTCCAAACTTGGACTCGAGTTCGAAGATGGGTAATATCGATTCACTCCTTCTGATACCTCCCCCACAAAAGATCGACAATTTCAAAAAAAAAAAAAAAAATAACCGCACAGAAAGAAAAAGGATAATCCGACTTTGCTCAAATTTTGGAAATCCTTATACTTGCATCAGTGCTAGGTCTGGTGCGAAAATTGACAATATCGGTCCACAAAAGGGTCAAAATGTTGAATAATTATAACTCTTATAAAATGCGATGTTAGTGTCCGATTGTGTTCAAACTAAACACATCACAATATTTTTTATTAACCCAAGGTCTGTTGCGAAAATGGACAATATCGGTCCATTTCTTCTGGTACCTCCCCCACAATGAGTCAAATTGTCGAATAACCAAAACGTTTATAAAATCCGAAATTTGCATCAGGTTCTCTTTATATTTCACACATCCTATTATTTCTACTAAAACAAGATCTGTTGTGAAAATGGAATATATCGGTCCACTTCCTCTGGTACCTCCTTCACAAAGGGTCAAAATTTTGAATATCCATGAAGTTCATAAAACGCGAAATTAACATCCGATTCCATTCTGACTTGGCACAACTCAATACATCTATAAACACAATATCTGTTATAAAGGTGGTAGAGATCGGACCATTCTTTCTGGTACCTCCCCCACACTGAGTCAAATTTGTGAATAACCAAGCGTTTATAAAATCCGAATTAAGCATCAGTTCTCTATATATTTCACACATTCCATTATTTCTACAAACACAAGATTTGCTGTAAGGTGAAATATATCGGTCCATTAATTCCGGTACCTCTCCCACAAAGGGTTAACATTTTGAATATCCATAAAGCTCATAAAACGCCAAATTAAAATCCGATTTCATTTAATATTTGTACATCTCAATATTTCCATCAACACTGTTATAGACATGGTAGGTCTGTTATAAAGATGGTAGGGATCGCACCATTTCTTGTGGTACCTCCCCCACATACGGTTGAAGAGTTTGAAAAACAAAACGCTCAAAGATAGCGACCTAAGCATTCAACTCACTTCAAATTTAACACATAAAAACCTTTTTGCTAACACAAGATCTGTTTTGAACCCCTTTTGGTACCTCACCCACAAAAAAATCCAATTTTCAATACTTTTATCAGTCGTAACTTGTGAATCAAATCAACGTTTCTTTACATCTTGCTATATCTAAATATTGCTCTCAACCAGAATTTATGATTTCGCACAAAATTGGATAAAAATTTTCGATTTTCTTGTAATATTGCCCATATCAATATTTTTATCTGCATTATATGAAGTATGAAAATTGAATACTTCCGTCGACTATATCTGGTACCTCACGCATATTTTAACATCTTCTAAAAATTATCACATATCTCATATAAAGTGAAGGAAGTAACCAATATAGTCCAAACCTGGCACGTCACAATATTTATATCACATTTATTTAGGTCCGATACGAAATGGACAATATTGGACAATTCCTTCCGAACCTCCTCCATAGAGGGTCAGCAATTTGAATAATCATAAAAGAAATTAAAATATATTTAAATAATCGAACATTGGCTGAGGGTATACATATGTCGGCTTAACCGAATGATACTTTTTAACTTGTTTGTAATTTTAAAATACCTTTTAAAAATATCGGAATTATTTTTGATTTTTTTTAAAAAAATATATAAATACATAGATTTTCCTCAAAGCAGATTGATGGCGTACGGATTTTTTAAGTATGACACCGACATACATACATGCCTGCATCAATATTATGGAAATTGACATTGAGTTTCAAACCGCTTGTCTTATGAACCTTAAGCGTTCCTGACAAATCTCTTCCACCCCTCCGCTATATTATTGCTCCACAAAAACCCTCCTTCCCATTTCATTTCCTATAAATAGTTTGATTATTATTGGCTCAATTATTGTGTCCATCATAGGCAACCACTTTGATTGATTATTTTATTAAATTTGTCTTAACTTCTTCCATTAGAGAAAATTAACTCCCAGACTTTTCCACTGAACATATCCTTGGCAACCATGGAAGCTTTCTTGGCCAGAAACTTATAAATAAATAAATAATAACAATAAATTTTGTATGAAAATATCCCAGATGATGTCTCCATTTTCGAGGGACAGGTTACCATGATGAGAAGAAAAAACCTACTTGGTATTGTGTTTCATCTTCACAAGGGGGAAATAGGAGAAATGTATTTCAATTCAACATTATCATTCATTAGATAAGAACTTTGAGTGATTTCAAATTCAAAATTAATTTAATCAATTTAATAATATAATAACTAGATGCAAACGAATAACTGGTTTTCAAAATTTTTAACAGTAACTAAACATTTGTGCTTTTAAAACATTACAAAAAAATGTCAAATAAAACAATAATAAATAACTGGTGTTATAAAATGATCTGCCATCGTTCCCTCTTCTTCTCCACATCCCTTGTCATGCCTCATTCCAGAAAATTGACCAACATCATTGTCATGGTGTAAATGGCTTTAGTCAGCTGCCAACCCGTGTTCATTGTCAGCGGTACAACAGCACCTATGGTCAGACCCGATGTGTTCTGGGTCATAGCCAACATAAATTGTAACATTTTCCTATCACCATTCGAGAGTTTATACCAAATTATTTCCGTATAACAGGAATCGATGAAGCCATCATTCTTAAAAAAATAGGGAGAGGAAATTTTATTTTATTTTATTATTTTTTTTTATATTTATTGATTATTATTATTAATTTTATTATTATTTTATTTATTTATTTATTATTATTATTATTTTTTTTTTTTTTTGAAGTACTACTCACAGTTGCTACTACTTACCGTCGCATGCACCAATGTACCAAGGCCACAAAAGACATACAACATAATGAAACAATAAAAGAAATAGGTTTGACCACCCGGCCATGTGCCCAAAATTATGCAGAAGAGTGATTAGGCTAAGCAGAGGAATATTGTTGCCATTTCTACAAGGATTACCCAAAAGTAATTCTCCTTGACGATCGAAATGAATCTGTAATCGGAATATATTAAAAACTAATCGAAAACACAACAATGAATTCTATGGAAATATGTCCCACAAATATTGAGTCTCAACGCAGAATTCAATATCACTTTTCGGAAAAGTTTTTTAAATAATTAAAATTGAGACACTCAAAGAAAAGTATTTAATGTCAGGGGTGCTAAACAATTCTTATGGATAAGGAGAGTCTAGGTTAACAAGCAACAATGATAATGACGAGACTAAATTATGGAACCCCTAATATGACCAGTTCGTGAGTGATGGTAAGACAACCAAAAGAGGCGTTCTGTTACTTTATTCGGGAATTTATAATAAATTTGGTACCGTTTAGTACTTTTTGTATATTTCCAAAAACACCGTATTGTCTAAATCCTACATTCAGCTCTATCCCTATACAATTTATCAAATTTAGTAATTTTCGTACACATTTCCAAAAATACCTCCTTTTCGAAAATTAACACACTTATGATGATCCTAATACTAAAATTCACAATTCCAGATCTTTTCCAACACTATATGCCAATTTTAGTACCATTTAGTACTTTTCCTACATGATGTCGTACACATTTTCCGAGCGAGCTCGTTATATCAACCATACCTCTATTTTCCACATTCCACCTTCATACATTCATTTAAATGCATGTAGTCCAAATTTAGTATCATTTGGTACGATTGGTACACTTTAGTACGCATTTTCAAAACCATTTCCTTTTATCATTTAAGCTTCCCATCTTTGATCCCTATATTTAAAGATTTAAAGATTTTAGGTTTGTGCGTTACAAGAGGTATCATGGTACCAAATCTAGAACCATTTAATAGTGTTCGTACACTATATGGTACACATTTCCAAAAACACCACCTTATGTGAAATCAACGCACTTACGGTGATCCTAATATCCAATATCCAAAATTCATAATTGCAGTTCAATTCATGCAGTATGTACCAAATTTAGTACCATTTCCCGAGAGACCTCTTTATCTCAACCGTACCCCTAGGCTAATTTAAACATTCCACCTTTATCCCTTCACACAAATGCATAAGTACCAAATTAATACCATTTGGTAAGATTGGTACTCTTAAGTATACATCCATCCCTCATAACAGGCATACTTCCCACCTTTGGTTACCTAATAGCATTTCAAGATTCTAGCTCTATCTGTTGAATAACCTCATGGTACCAAATTAGTACCAATTAGTACTTTTCGTACACTTACATTTCATAATTCCTAAAAAATTCCTTCGTGCATATGTACTACACTAGTGACTCTGATTCCAAAATTTATCAATTAACCCAAATGCAGATTGTACCAAGTTTAGTACCATTTCGGTACGATTGACACACTTCAGTACGCATCCCCAAAAACACCTCAAACATACTCTCTAACCTCGATCCCATATACAATTTTAAGATTTAAGCTCCATCCGTCAAACAAAATATAATGGTACCGATACCTGTTAGTACATTTCGTACACATTTAGTTCGAATTTCCTAAAATTCTTTGGTACATCTATGCTGCACCTGTGACCCTTGATAAAAATATCAAAATGCTAGCTCTATCATTTCGTTCACTAGAAATGGTACCATATTTAATACCTTTTAGTACTTTTTGTACACATAAAATTTCATAATTCCCAAAAACTCATACTACACTGGTGACCCTGATTCCAAAATTTATCAATTAACCCAAATGCAGATTGTACCAAATTTAGTACTATTTGGTACGATTGGTACACTTAAGTACGGACTCACAAAACCACATCAAACATAGTTTCTAACTTGATTCTCATAAAAAAAATCTAGATTTCGTCACTTTCCATGGAACAAAACATTTCGGTACAAAATGTGTAACTTTTAGTACATTTCGTACACTTTTAGTATAAATATTCTAAAAAGTATTTGGTACATATAACCTGCGCTATTGACTCTTGATTCAAATATCCAAATTCTAGCTCTATAATTTCATCCACCAGAAGTGGTACCTTATTTAGTACCTTTTTGTACTTTTCATCTTTGGTATGAATTTCCAAAACAACATCTCTTTAGGCATACATTCCAACCTTATTTTCCATATAAAATTTCACGATTTCAACTCTATTTGTACTTGTCGTACCTTTTAGGACCTTTTTGTACACTTCGATGTTCGAATTTTCTAATATACGCTTTGGTACAAATATATTAGACCAGTGGTCCTCATTCAATCCGTTCGTCCAATACAAATTGTATAAAATTTAGTAGCTTTCGTACCCATCTAGTACGATTTAAAAAAAACTCAAAAAGTGTGGAGACTTCAAGGGGACCCTTAGGCCGACCCCATCCAAAATGTCAAGATTTCAGCTTTAGCCGTTTCGTCTAGGAGTATATGGCAGACTGATTCATCAACCCCTAGACGAAACGATTGAAGCTGGAATCTTCAAATTTTGTGTGAGGGTCAACCTTGGGGCGTAGGTGCTGGAAAAGGTAATTTCTGTGTACATTCAGTTACCATCCGCCCATCCACCCATTTATCCGTCCATCTATCTACATATCTATTTATACATAGATACATAAATCCAACTTCGATTTGAATTTTATGCTGTTTTCAAATGTCATCTACAAGGGAAGGACTTAGTTATGCCATCAAAGCTACAGATCCCCTCTAGAATTCCGAGTCTATATGGTTTTGAATGGGTCATAAGAGTTTAGATCACAGGCCGAGGCAGTTGGAGCAATAGAACTTAAAGTGGTCCAGAGCAATAGTTCTTGTTTCTTCAGTGTTCCATTGGACAAAAAATCAACGACCTTTAGAAAAAATATTATGAGTCAGGAACCAAGGACACTGACGAAGTTTTACCCTTCTCGTACTCCTTATCAAGATGCAACTCAATTTAGTTAATTATTATCTCCTTTCGAATCTTTCCGAGGCATAAAAAATCGAAAACTGAAGGCTACTTTCAAGGGATCCCAAGTCCATTAGATTTTTTTCACGCGAAATAACACATGGACCGTTCCTGGCCTTAAAAATCGGAATCTGCCATATATCTGCAAAAGTTTATGGGTCGGGAACGGAGACGGTGAAAAAAATCAAAATCCTTTCCAAGATACAACTCAAGATAGTCAATGAATATCTGTTTCCGAAAAATTCTGAGGCAGTAAACAATCGATATCAAAAGGCTTCTTTCAAAGGATCCCAAATCCATGAGAATTATCTCACGTGAGATAACACATGGACAAACCCTGGCCTTAAAAATCGGAATCTGCCATATATCTGCAATCTTCTACTTTGTAGTTGATTAATCAGGACCATTATCTTTCATAACCGTTATCAAAAAAATGAAATTCCAAAACCCACTTACTTCATATAGCGCTGATGCCACTCGAATATGTCCCGCAACAGTTCACCACTCCTCTCCATTTCATCCAGCTCCAGAGCCTCATTGATTTCCTGAAATTTACACGACAAAATATCCTTGTACTGCGGCACATGAAAGACCAGCAAAACGAAACACAAATCGGCGGCGAAGTTACAAAATCCACCGAACAGGATACTGAAAAAATGTACGACATTCATTATTATGAAATCCCTTTCCACCTTCGGATCCAGCCCAGGCAATAAAATACGCGTTGATTGAAGAAGAAACGATAGAACGGCACCACTGTGATCAGGCTACAAACGACAATGGCATAATCGATGCCCATCGATTTGAGGCCAACAACGGTTCGATTCATGGTCTTGTGTAAATAGGCACGATAATCGGAATGTTTCTTTTCGTTGTATTCCTTGTAGATCGTGTGCAGTTCGTCGACCAAAAAACGAAAATAGGCCTTATTCCTAATGGCATTCAAGAGTTTGGCATAGCCCTACAGGCAGAGAATGAGTTGGGAAAGAAGAGGGAAACAATTAATAAAAATTAGAAAATTTTGAAAAATGATATCCCCGGAGCCCAATGACTTACATGCACCCCACTGCCCACCATGGCCAGGGCCTGCAGACTGTGCGACCATTCCCCCTCCACATAGATGCTCACATATACCGTATAGCCCGTCAATATGAAAAACATATTGATGAACGTTATGACCGTCCAGGTGAGTAAATTCATTTGCCACTCCGGATTCAGGACATCACAGCCACAGTATTTCGAGGAGAGACGTATGATGCGAACAATAAATTCGTAGCGCTCCACCACTGATATGACCATGACGATGTCAGACGTCTTCTATTTTATTTTTTCAAAACAAATATTCAAACGGAAAATTCAAGGATTGCAACTAATCCATTTAAGGCCAACAGCGGTAGTGTGTGTGAAAATTCAAGTCTGTGGAGGAATTTTCCCCAAACATCTGGCATTGAGTGATAATTTCCAACCTTTGACATGAAAATTGTGCAATTTCTTTAATTGGACTTTAAAAACTGACAATAGGCTGGTCCTCAACCAAGTAATGGATTTAAGGTAGCTAATGAGTACCTCTAACAAAGGGAGTCGAAATGAAGCCTCAATGAATTTGAAAGGAACATTTTTAGATGATTTTTAGGAATTATTAACCATTAACCAAAATGTAGATTGTACCAAAATTAGTACCATTTGGTACGCTTGGTAGTTTTAAGTACACATTTTTACAACCATCTCCTTATAACAGGCATACTTTCCCAAGCACTTCAAGATTCTAGCTGTATTCGTTGAAAAATATAATAGTACCCAATTAGTACCTTTCAGTACTTTTCATACACTTAAATAGTCCCAAAAACTTCTTGGTACATATATACTACACCAGGGACCCTCATTTCAAATTTTATCCATTTACCCAAAAGCATGTTGTACCAAATTCAGTACCATTTGGTAGGGTTGGTACACTTGAGTACGCATTTCCAAAACCACCTCAGACATACTTTCCAACCTTGATTCCCATAGCAAATTTGAAGATTTCTGCCCCATTCCGTCAAACAAAACATCATGGTACAAAATGAGTAACTTTTAGTACATTTAGTACATTTCGTACATTTTAAGTTTGAATATTCTAAAAACTCTTTGGAACGTATATTCTGCACCATTGACCCTTGATGCAAAAATCAAAATTCCAGGTTTATCCTTTTCCCCAATACAAATGGTACCATATTCAGTACCGTTTAGTACTTTTCATATATTCAACTTTCGTAATTCCCAAAAACTCCATGGTACATATATACACTACACCAGTGACCCTCATTTCAAATTTTATCCATTAGCTAAAAGCATATTGTGCCAAGTTTAGTACCATTTGGTACGATTGGTACACTTAAGTACCCATTTCCAAAACCTCCTCGGACATAATTTCCAACCTTGATTTCCAAAAAAAAAAAAAAGATTTCTGCCCCCATTCCGTCAAACAAAACATCATGGTACAAAATGAGTAACTTTTAGTACATTTCGTACACTTTAAGTTTGAATATTCTCGAATCTCGTTGGTACTTGTATGCTGCACCATTGATCCTTGATCCAAATATCAAAATACTACATTTATTCTTTCGCTTAATACAAATGGTACCATATTAAGTATCTTTTAGTACTTTTCGTACCCTTCTGGCACGAATTTCCAAAAAAAAACATCCATTTATTAAGCATACATCCCAACCTTTAATAAACGTAGATTCTTAAAAGAACAAAACCCCAGGAGCCTTAAACTTGTTTTTTTTTTAAGAACACATTAAAGGGCCTCTGGAACTTTAAACTTGAATTCCTTAACCTGGGTATATTAGGGAACTTATATAAAAACCACAGGAGGCGTAAAAGTGCATTTTTTAAAGAAATTTTTCAAAGGATCCCAGGCGCCTAAATATTGCTTTTTTTAAAGAATAATTTTTAAGACATCTGAAGCCTTAAACGTGGATTTTTAAAATAAAAGTTTTAAAGGCCTACAGAGCCCTAAACCTGGATTTTTTTTTAAAGAACAAAGGATTTCTGGCGCCTAAATATTTCTTTTTTAAAGAATAATTTTTAAGACCTCTGAAGCCTTAGACGTGGATTTTTAAAATACAAAGTTTTAAAGGGCCTACAGAGCCTTAAACCTGGATTTTTGTAAAGAACATATATAGGACCCATATAGCCATAAACATGGGTTTTAAAGACAATTTATAAAGGACTATAGGAGACTTAAACGTGAATATTTAAAGAACATTTATAAAGGACACCAGAAGCCTTTAAAGTGAATTTTTGAAATACAATTTTTAAAGGCATTAAACGTGGATCAAAGGACCAAGGAAGCCTTAAAAGCAGATTTTTTAAAAAATATTAAGGAAGCCTCAAACGTGGATTTTATTAAAAAATTGTTCAAAGCCTTAAAAGTAGATTTTTTTTTTTAAAAATTGTTCAAAGGACCAAGAAGCCTCAAACGTGGATTTAAAAAAAATGTTTAAAGGACTAATGAAGCCTCAAACGTGGGATGCCTTAAATTTTGTTGTTTTTTTAAAAGAATAATTGTTAAGACCTCAGGGGCCCTGAACGTGGATTTTAAAATACAAAGAGTTATAAACCTGGAATTTTTTAAAGAACATATATAGAGGACCTATGTAGACATTTTATTATATTTAAAGAACATTTATAAAGGACACCAGAAGGCTTTAACGTGAAGTTTTAAAATAAAAATTTTTAAAGGACCTATGTTGCATTAAACGTGGATTTTCTATAAATAAAATTTTTAAACGACCTATGTAGCCTTAAACTTGGATTTTTAAGGACCAAGGAGGCCTCAAATGTGGATATTCTAAAGAAAAATTGTAAAGGACATACGGAACAATAATCGTGGTTTTAAATTACCAAGGGAGCCTCGAACGTGGATTTTTATACCCTCCACTATAGTATGGAGGTTATACTAAGTTTGTCATTCCGTTTGTAACACCTCGAAATATACATTTTAGACTCCACAGTGTATTTATATTCTTGATCAGCATAAAATTCTATGTCGATTTAGCGATGTCCGTCCGTCCGTCTGTTGTAATCACGCTAGAGTCAAATCGAATAAGGATGGGAAGCTAAAATTTTGCACAGATCAGTCTTTTGTCTGCAGGCAGGTCTAGTCGATATCTCGATATCGTGTAGCTCCCATATAACGGTAGCCCCCATTTGATGATTGTCGGTACAATATTCACCGATAATGTTTTGAAAATTCGCATTTGAAGTTCCTAATAGGTGCTTCAGCCTGTGACAGCTCCAGGTTTTCATATAGCCCCTATATAACGGTACCTTCCTATATTCGGTATTTTGATGATTTTAGCTACATTTTCAGTGGAATTGTCTAAAAATCCCTACTAGAAGTTCTTTCTAATCACTTTACACCCTGGAAGAGAAATGTGTATATAGATGCACGATATCGTATGGCCCACATACAACGGTAACCTCCGATATTCGATATTTTGACGATTTTAGCGTCATTATTTACCGGAGTTGGTTCAAATTTCGTATTTGAAGTTCCTAATAGGTAATACAGCCTGTGACAGAAAATTGCCTATGCAGGTCCAGGTCTTCGTAAAGACCCCATATATCAGTACCTCCCTATATTCGGTATTTTGATGATTTTAGCTACATAATTCACCGGATTTTTTTTCCAAGTTTTTTGTAATGGGTTATGACAAAAGTTGCCACGTCTTCGTATAGACCCCAATATAACGGCATATTCGGAATATTTGAGATTTTAACAGAATTTTTAAGGGATTTAATTTTTTGAAAATTTCCAAATTCGTTCCAAATGGTGGAGGGTATTAAAACTTCGGTCGGGCCTGTGTTTTTACTTGTTCATATTTAACCGAATTTTTCCATTTAGTAAAACTCGGTCCGGGTTATCTATTGCTTTAATAAATACTTTTTAATATAATTATTATCGAGGTCACATCATGCACTATACAGCAATAATATTTGGTACTAGTGGTAAAAAGGCCTCGGTCAGATTTTTTAAAAATCAATTCAAAGTTGGATATATTTCCAAAATTGTGAATACTATGAAGCCATGATACGCATCCAAATAAGGTTCATAGTGTGTATGATCTGCTACACATTAATTCCCAATAAAAACTTTTTTTTGTTATGGAAGCTCTACTAAATTCGCATAGTGGTGTAGGTTATCATACATATGCAGCCTTAAACATGGATGTTTTAAAGAAAAATTTTAAATTACGTACGGAGCAATAAACGCGGTTTTAAAGGACCAAGGGATCCTAAAATGTGGATTCTTCTAAATAAAAAGTTTATAGGACCTATGGAGCCTTAAAAGTGTATTCTTCCTGAAATATTTTTAAGGATCTATGGAGCTTTAATCCTGGTCAGAAAATAAATAATTAATTGGTGTGGCTCACCTTTTACTATCTGCTTGGAAACTATCTATTAATGTAATATCAAGATGGCGCTAATGATAACATGAAGTTCAATAGCAAAACTACTTCAAGATCAGGCAGACACAATTACAAATGTAACTCGATTGGAAATTAATATCCTCCTGGGGTATTGATATAATGTTGCAAACTTTTTAACTCGTCTAAGAATATATTCTGATATATGAGTTTTCATTAAAATCTTCCTGGTCATTTCATGTCCAGATGGCGTTCGTAATGGCTCATGGTCCATATTTTAAAGATATTGTCTGTCAATAAATCGATACCAGGCAGCGAAAACAATGAAACGATTTAAAACACCCTAAAAATTCGAAAAACTCAATAATAAAGGAGTTATGGCCAAAGTAAGAAAATAAACTATTCAACATTTAAAAACGACGTGTGAATCGTAACCCGAGTTGCAACGAGCATCTTTGCTTGGGTATTGAATTTATGTTGCAGATATTTGTTCCTCGCCTAGAAGTATGCACTCAAATTCATTTTTATTACAGCTACCTACATATTAGATGGCGCTCGTAATTAAATAGTTTTTAGTTTTTGATCTCTTCTGGTTAAATTAAAATCAAGATGGCACTGGATTTATTTTAGAACTTCTGCTCATTTCCATTTCCATAAATGGTACCAATTATAAATTTATAGATTTGCGTATAACCTGGTCAATAAATCGATATCAGACGGTTAAAATTATGGGCCTTAATGGGTTGGGGCATAGATTGAATATTGCATATACTGACCTCGCCTAGAAGTATGCTCTCAAATTCATCTTTTTTAAACTACCTGTTAATCTTCATATCAAGATGGCGCTAGAATAGTAAGTTTTCTGATTTTGGTCTTTGCTTTTAAATATTATAGGGACTTTTGAAGGTTTAAGTCGAATTTCCAAACCGAATCTGTAGGAAATTTCGACCCATTAAAATTTTGAAAAAAAATTCTTCATTCATAACCTTTAGAATTGCTAATTTTTGTAGTTCTTTTCAGGCACAAATGTATATGACGACAGATTAATTGAAACCTTTAAAATA